TTCTTCAACGTGCTCATCATTGCTCGTTTCCCGGGAATTTGCTGGTTTCTCTCTTTGATAGCATATTCCGCGCTTATCGTTTGGGCGGAGTCGGTTGTGTCACTGCTCTTCTCTCACTAAGGCTCCCTTTCCCGTATTGATAGCGCCCATTGTGTGAACTCATTATGCGGGATAGGACATCTTATTATGACCTCAGGCAGCGTTCAGACTTCGCGACGGCAGCGCTTCGGTCGCGCGTTTGACGCGATCGATGCAGTCGAAAGCATGCGCATCGATCGTCTCGAACGCGCGACCGAAGCGCCGCCGTCGCGAAGTCTGAACTGCCTCAAAGGCAGCCCGCAATCATTCTCCATCACAGATGGTGAATTAGGGGTTTGCATATAACGACAAGGTTCTGATCACTCGATAGTGAAGAAAAAAAGCAGAAAAACTCATGCTAGCTGTCCTAAATAGAACCCCATTAGGATTCTTGTTTGTACTCGCATCTAACGAAGAAAAGGCATTCGTAGACGAGCTCCTCACAGAAGAACCCTGCCAACGTACGAGGAACTATGGCGCTTTCGCTTTCATGCTTTTCTCGTCCTGCAGCTTTGTTGTCTTGCTGGAAGGCGGGTCTCGAAGGCGGAGTCTGGAGGCGGTTCACTAGAGAACAGAGGCGTGACTGAAGCTAAATTACGCTATAACGCGCCTCCCTTACAATTTTTTGCTGCGAAACCGGCGTAAGATTGCTCGTCGCGGACCAAACTACCCTCCCGTGGCCACATTTCCAACTTCTGTACCCGGTCGCGTACTGTGTGTCGTTAAGCTCTGCAGTTTCCTATTTTTGCAATAAAACAGGACAATGTGAAAGAGCGAACTCCCACCGCGGAACCCCAATATCAGGAACTTGGAATTATGCATACTTAGTATATGTTATATAGAGGCGATATCCTTGAAGTCAGTCGGGATGTGTCGGTAGCGTCAGCCCTTTTTTTCTCACCATTCACTGAACCGCGAAGTCGCAGGCGATCCGATCAGGGATCGATAGAAAACCCGCTGGCACTGCACAAAAGCCCAAGCGCCGTTGACATGCCCTACTGTCATATTCGCATGCTACAGACGCGTCTGCCTGGGGAGGGGGCATTTTGTACTATCATTGCGTCCTTAGTTCCGGTTTACAAGTCTCACTCTGGCGAAACCTGTGAACTCTTGTGAAGCTGGAGCAAGTCAAGCCATCATGTTAAAACCTGTCAACTCGAGAAGAGGCTGTCTAGATAGGTCGACACGTCGATGGGAAGTAGCAAAAGTGCAAAATGCCCCCCCCCCGTCGCCGAGTTGCACCCAGGGAAATATGAAGTTCGACAGCGTATTCTGAATGAGGCATGCTACAGTATCATATCTTTGACTAAACAACAATGAATTTCAAACTCACTTTCAGGTATGTTATGGTACAATACTTTGATGTATTTGTCGCGATCAGCTCGCATATGTTCGTGCCATAGACCGATTACGTGCATCAACTCGTGTAAGACAATCTGCGGCTCGATACAACTAAATCGTACAGATAAACCGCGTTCACAGCTATAGCGATTCTTCAGACAGTGTTGTTCGCTGCAGATGTAAGGGCGTGTCAAGAAGGAACGGGTTTGGCGCTCTGCGAGCACGTTTCTTTCTCCCGGCAAAAGACTAGATTGCATCATATCGCTCGTATCAGTCGTTGTTGTTGTTTAGCCGCTTCGACAACTCCCGAAGAACGGGCCGGTGGGCTGCCAAACCCGGCCTCATTGACATGGCCCATCATCTGCAGCGATGTCACGGTTCGGGTTGTTCGTCAAATTTATTCACCTTTTCTCGGAACACTGTAGTTTTCATGACTACTGTAATCTTGAAGCTACTTCTTACAATTAGCCGGCCTAGGAAAGCAAGAAACCTTGCCATCTTTCATTGGGCGCTGGGTTTTGCGCTTTGCCAGGGATGGGTTTGGCGCTTGACGGTTTGACGCTACGCTAAACTCGAGGCAGTCATGGAGCGGAAGTGGAATTGGAATACTGTACTTTTGCGCAAACCCAATTTTGAAACTACAGCCCATTCGGTCTCAACTTTCGGGATTCGAGTTCTCTTCTTGTTCATCATGAGGCCATGAAGCATCTTCGAGGGGGGGGGGGGGGGGAATGTCAGGGAGCATGGAATATACATGGGCAAAAGTAGTCCTATTGGGAAGGGGTGGAAAAGTAATCAGCAATGGGAGGGCCATCCGCGTGAATTAGATATGGTCATGATCCCAGCAAAGATAGGGCTTTGTGGAGTAGACTGGAACGCAGTTCCAATAGTCTCTCCGGCCGTCTTGGTTGACTCAGCGAATGTCATCCTTGGTGGAAAATATGCATAACCATGGCGATTCAGTTCAGGCTTCCATCACACGCTCTTATGCTTTTGCAGTAATCAGTGCTGTATGTCGCATCACGTATTAAGCCAAATATGCCCAGCCCCTATAACACCCCCTTGCTAATCGGCAACGCGGCAAGTCGAACTGCTATCTCTGGTAGATGACCGGAATCGCACCGTGAAGGGAACTCAGTCAGGAGATAAGGGAGGGGAAATCACCTGGCCCGCACTGTCAACCCAAGTGGACATCTGCAGCCTTCGACTACTGAGGAGTCAAGCGTGAATAACTCTCCCTAATCGTGGCTCATCAGGAAAGATTCATTTGCGAATGCACGTATTTTTCGTCATTTTCAAACCCCAGTGGGCACATACGATGGCTGGGGCGGACGGTTACTGCTAATGTCAGTGGTGGAAAGGCTGGACGTTAGGGCGCACCCCTTAGTCCTTTCACCAATGACGTTAGAAGTAACCGCCCACCCCAGCCATCGGACCTACCGCCTTCAAAGCAAGTCCATTGTCTGTAAAGGGCATGCCTGGAAAGATGATGTCCCAAGAGGCCCGGTCTTGGTGTGGGGGAGTGTGTGATATATGGGAAGCACTTCTTGTCAAACTATTGATCTGAACTCACGTTTCTTGCGCATTCGCTTCAAGCATAAGAATCCCTCTGCCGCCTACACGTCCGACACTGGTGTAGCATCTGGAACGTATTTTTTTACCCCTGTATAGAATTTCTAGCTCCAAACGATTGGCTTGTTTTGCAAATTCCACTCACCCCTCACCCCGTTGATTTCGGATATCGATATAGTCTTTTTCAGTTGTACGCGGTCGAAATCGGAGGCAGGTGTTTTTGTGGATTCTCTTCATTGCCTCTGCTATCACTGCTTTTTCATCCGAATCTGAAAAAAATTGTTAATTTCAAGAATTCCAGCTAATTACAGCGGTTCCTTTCTGAGTCACCTGTCACAACCAGGATAAAAGGGTAAAGTCTCCGCTGTAGGTTAATCCCTTTATGGGATGTGGCACGCAGAAACGTGGTGGCTTATTGAATGCGATGTGGCCTACACAATGCTTTTTGGGGGTCCGTCGATGTACAAGTCAATATTTTTACCCGTCTAGACGGATCTGGTACCAATACACCGCTCCCGTAGGGGCGGGAAGGCTTGGTTGCCTGGGTGGGAGTCGACCCGGGATTTGAACGAGGCACGGCGCGGGTGGTAGGCGCTCCACTTATCACTACACCACCTCCGCCAATAAACCGTTCCTATCTCCCTTCAACAGTTAGCAAAAGTTTACAGACACAAGTGGGGAAGTGGAAAAGCAGATGGTTTTTGACCTATGCCCCCTTAACGTTGCCCCCTCATATTAAACTAGTAACTGCCAGTAATCAGAACAGTGTTGGAACTGTCACCCTTGACGAACACGCAGCAAAAACAACCGTTCGCTAACCGTTTATTCCCGCATAATCGTCTTAATCTGCTCATACCTACATAATTATACACTTTCCTTCATGTTTCGTGCGCATGACAAAGAGGTTTTTGAATTGAGTGAACTGGAGGTGTTAGTGAGGTAGGAAGATCATTAATCGTATATCAAGAGCAGTTCACCGCTAGAACAAAAAAATCAGGGAAATGGGGCACTTTGGTGACGGGTGGGGGCATATTGTACGTGCATTGGTTCCCCAATTCCGGCGCGGGCATATTGCACGTGCAATGGTTCCCCAATTCCGGTTGACAAGTCGCACCCTGGTGAAACCTGTGAACTCTTGTGAAGCTGGAGCAATGTCGTCAAGCCATTACCCTGAAAAACCGGGTATGTGACAAGAGGATCGTAATTTGCCGCGCTGCTGGGCGTCGCGTGCGACGTCTCGCCCGCAAAGGACGATGGCTTCAGGCAGTAGATGGCGACAACATGCAATTAAGGACCGAAAACAGTAATGAGTGTCTACGATGACGGGGTCTACATGAAGTCCGGTGCTTCATTCGACAGGTTAAAACGAGTTATGAAAACGCCGCGTCCATCGCCGCGCGTGGCGGTGCGGCGAATTACGATCCTCTTTACCGTCTCCCTGAAAAAACCTCTCAACTCGAGATGAGGCCTGTCTGGATTGCGCGTCGACATGTTCGGGATCGGTAGCAGAAATGCAGCAATGCCCCCGTCGCCGACTGCGTCCAGGAAATATTGCCAGTTTGACAAAGTTAGATGTCGCGAATGCAGGCAAGCAATAGATTTACGGTTCGCGTTTCGTGCCGTAATTGTAAATGATCCCCCCAAACTATCTCAGACTGACACTCGTCACTGTTGAGCATGAAGCGGCGCTATGTGCCTCAGGAGAGGTCAGTTTCAAGCGGAGCTAAGTATGCTACGTCAAAACCTTTCGCCTTGCACCCTCTCAGTGAGGCAACGAGAAGTGTTCCATTATGGTTTGCTCAACGTGAAAGCATGCCATCCTCTCTTTTATCCTTGTCACGGAGACAACCTGAAGTGGCTATACTTCCCGCGACATTGTGAGGCCAGCAGTTCTCGTTGAAGTCGTCACTTCTTCCTGTCCAGAGCCCCTTTCAGCCGCCGACCGTTATTTCATGTGAGCGCTTTCCGATGACACCCTCTCCATCTTTTTTTGGGGCTCCTCGTGGTCGCCCTGCCGTGTGTCTGCAAACTTTCTTATACTTTCCCTTATCGATCTTCTCACCTCAGCACATTTCATACGATGGCCAGTTGCCTGCTGATCTCGTACCTTTAGACTATGAACAGACCCCTGCATGACCACTCTAACGGCTTCGTTATCCCGCCTTCCAGCATATAGGCCTGCACTCGTGTCGTATAACACCACAGGCCTTACTAACCACTGTTCTCGGAGTCTACGTGGAACAAGGCTCGAGTTCGCCAGGAACGCTGAGTGCATTGCTTTCATTTCATGTGGGCATTCACTGGCCTGGTGCGAGGTCAAGCATCAGCGCTAGATCTTCCCCAGAGTACCGCGGAAGACGTTCACCTGCTTATAGCACCTATATCACAAAAAGGGGCCAGATAGTGGCGTACGAAAACGACTCAGGGTATCCTCACGAGGTATAGCCAATGTGCAAGTCAGTAGACTTCTCCTCCTAGAAGATTCTGACCCATTCAACGTCCCGGAGAGTAGAGCGCTCGGTAGGCCCGAGCAAGAGCCGATCCACTATCTGACCCAGGGACAATGCTCGTTATAAGCGATCGTTTGCCATTACGCCATATCCGCCACCCCTACCGCCCACTCACCACGCCCACTCAGGACCTCATGGCCTCGGGGTGCCGACTACGAACGCCATCTCCTCAAAAGGCTCCGAAGAAGGCAATACTGCCGAAACGTCAGTCTGGTAAAGGACTTGTAACAATCTCGGATTGCTAAAGAAACCTCTGTGAATATTGCTCAGGGACATAGTTTGTGGGTGGGCGGGGTCTTGGTCTCTTCGTGTTATTTGGCCCTTTTCAGAATACTTAAAGCGGTAAAATGACTGGATACTCGACAGTCCAAGTGATGTGTATGCCGTTAATCCATCTGTGCCATACACAATCAAACGGTCCTGCTCGCTACAAATGATGGGGCGAGTAGGTGAAAATGGGTTTTAGCGCGCCGCCAGCTCGTTCTCTATCAGTCCTGAAGCGTGAGAGACAGTAATCGGTGGAAAATGAGTGATACGATACAGTCTTGCCGAGGACAAAAAGTAAAAGAAACGTGCTGGCGCTACCCGCCTGGCAGTCCCCGTCATCCTCAGCGAACAACACTGTAACGAGGAACGCCATGTTGCATTTTTACCTAATTACTTGCTGAGAGGCGGAGGGGTGTAGTGACAAGTGGCGCGCTTACCACTCGCGCGGTCCCGGGTTCGAATCCCGGGTCGACTCCCGCCCAGGCCAACCAAGCCTTCTACCCTCCGGGGACGGTAAATTGGTACCAGATTCGTCTGGGAGGATAAAACACTGACTTGTACATCGGCTGGCCCCATTGTATAGGCCACATCGCATTCAATAAGCCACTACGATTCTGAATGGAAGTAGAATGCGTGCCGCATCCCACAAAAGGGATTGATCAACGGCGAAGACTTTATCCTTTTCGCTAAGAAGATATTCACTAGCGCGTTTCGTGTACATTTGACTACTAACTTACCATATCGTCCTGATACAACGTATGGTATGTAGAAATTTCCGTCTTCGCCTTTATATTGCCATTTAAGATTGGAATACCTATGGAGAGCATTGTACATTCTCC